TGTTGAGGCTCATCATATCAGCATCTCGGTTGAAACATTTGCCCCTATCAGAAGCAGTGAAATTTGGTTCAGTCAAAAAAGTTACATAATGATGTCTTACTAATAAGAGAACATGTACATTCATGAAATGGTGAGGATATTGGGGGTTTATTTTTAATGACTTGTTGTGCTCTTCGATGTTTCTTATGGTTGTTAAAGCCATATAGAACAGATATAAGGCAATAATGTCAAAATCATTATATCTTAACTTGATTCTAGAATAATGTCAACCGATATTACTGAAGGATACCGGTGATTTCTCATTTGAAGCCGATTACGTTTTTGTGCTTTGAATGACTCCTCATATATAGGATTGTGAACTGACCTTAATGACATCATCAAAAAGTGTGTATGAATCTCTTCACTGTTTTACATTGAGAGGTCAAAGCCTCATTCTGAAAATAGATCATATGACGTGTAAATGGAGAATTAAAATAAAATTTGAGAAATTAGAACATTTACTTATGTTAAGATCGAATTCCAGTGAAGGTCCTACATGTACACAATGCTGATTAATTAAATCCTTGAAGAGCATTCCTTTACAGCAATTTATGAACACATTGGATTATTATTTGATTTATCAAGTTTAATCTCAGATTTTTATAAACATACCATTTGGAATTAAATCTGGCTTACAAGACAGCTGCATGTAGATTATGATGTAAGCCTATAAGATATTGGAAAACGATGAAAGATAAATTTGAAATAAATGTCAGTACCACGATTGTAATATATCTCAGTGCATTAAAATGGTGTACTATTCCTATCATTAATCTATAATTGTAGTGATGTTATTTCATTTACCTTACAGTTACTTTATCTAATACTGTACCAAGGGCAGTGACCTACCATGGTAATAATCCTATGTCAAATAAGTGTCATAGGAGAAAACAATGGAAAGTATGTAAACGACGTTAGTGACGGAGTTGAATTATTTATAATTATTAATTAATAAATTATTATATTTAAAAAAATCGTAATGTAATATTATCAGATAATGACTAGGAAAATAAGTTATGATTACGAATATTGAGATACATTTTCATTTTTAAAATGATAAAGAATAAACATGGAAAATACCATGTTGGTTGTCACAAACAATTTCAAACGGTTATATCTTGAATTATGACTATTTTCTTACAATGAAGACAGGCATGTTCTAGATCCATTCAATATCTCAACGAAAAGTATATACAATGTTAAATAAGTCAAAGGGACTCGGTGATATTGAGGGTGCCATAAACCCATCAACATACGTTTTCAATTAAGTTAATTTCCATCAACAATGCAAACCAGAACAACGGCAACGCCAGAGCGTAGCGAATCCCATCGAACAGAAATGGCTGGCATTTTTACAAACGAAGCGCAAATATCATAAAACAACACACTAGAAAGGCCACCATTTTCAAAATGGTTGCTCACTTGCCAAGTTGTCATCAGAAGAAATAATATGATTTTAAGTAGCCACCTCTAAAATTTTTGAAAATTCGCACACGTACTTGTAAAATAACACACATATAAATGGTGGCCATTTTTCAAAATGGCCGACTACTCCCCAAAGTTTTATTAGACAATGTGCCATGCTTAAAGTATTCACATATCAAATATGAACAAAATCGCTCTACTACTTTTCGAGTTATAGTAAAATACGTTAAAATGGCGGCCATTTTTCAAAATGGCCACCTTCTACCAAAAGCGTCATTAGAAATAGACAGTGTGCCATGCTTACAGTATTCACATACCAAATATGAACAAAATAACTCCACTTCTTTTCGAGTTATAGTGAAATACGTTAAAATGGCGGCCATTTTTCAAAATTGTTTTCAAAATAGCCGCCTTCTACCAAAAGTGTCATAGGACAGTGTGCCATGCTTATAGTATTCACGTACCAAATATGAACAAAATCGCTCCACTATTTTTTGAGTTACAGCAAAAATCGTAAAATGACGAGTAAAGGCCGCCATTTTTCAAGATGGCTGCCATGTGCTTCTTTAATATCTACATTTGTAGCATTATTAATGTTCTTTATAATTTTTTTACATTTAAAACATATTGCTATTACAGCTTTACATATTGCACCTAAATTACTGTAAAATCGTCACTAAAATGGCCGCCATTTTGCAATGAGCGGCCATTTTGAAAATCGGCTTTCGAGCAGAACTTCTACCCCTATAGGGTATATGTGTACAAAATATGAACAAAATCGGGCCAACGGTATTTGAGTTATTGCCCGGACGGACGGACGGACGGAGGCGTTCCCTATATCCCTCCGAACTTCGTTCGATGGGATAATTACTATTCTTTGTTTAAATGTATCAAATTCGGTACGTTCTTGAAAGGAAAGCTGAATTGCTTTAAAATTAGTGTTCCAAATGTTATTTGCCCATAAAGAAAACTCATGCTATCCATTGGTTACAGCTCACTTCCAAATTCAAAATAGAGTCCCTGGAGCAATCCAGTTTCTTTTAGGAAATAAAACATGTCCAAAAGCACATTCTTATTACATGTATACGCATTAAACATTATAATGAAAGGTTAACTTTTCAGTGAAAATTAGGTCAACATTTTTGCAAGCAGCGTGTACATTTGATATACAAATCTTTTCCATTTAATCTCAATTAATGACAATATTTCCCAAAAGATCCGTAGTTATACATTGGTGAAGTAATCAAGGATTCAAAGTGCAAAAAATGGGGGAGGGGAATGTTTAATGTGGAATAGAAAAACTGATACATTATTGTAAAAATCTTTAGTTTTCCTGAAATAAAGTGTGTATTTTGGATATTTTTAGTTAATGTCATGGAATGACCTGGTCCAAGAATATTTTAAAAAGATTTTTGTTTGAAGCTTATTCTCTAGATCTGATTCTCTCTTTAATACTTGATTATCATGACATATACATGATATACAATACATGAATATATACTTTTCTTGGGAGATAATGAATGGATCTGTCTTCATGATCAGAAAATATTCATCATCAAATATGCCGTCTGAAATTGTTTGCGATAACCTACGTGGCTCTTTTGATTTATCAAATTAATGTCAATACGACTTCACCGAATAGAGCTGATTTATTCTTCAAACCTCAACTTCATACCCATAACCGTACATTGAGCGATAATCTTGATTGCAGCAACGGCAAAACCCGAAAAATAAACATATTCTTTTTTAGGCAAAGACCCACTGGCAATCTTGATTGCAGGATGGCACAAGCGGAAAACCACGAACAATTAACATATTCACTCTCAATTCTGTATTTTAGACATCTCCAGATAGGAACTATAACATATAGGCCATACTTACTTCCCCCACGTGCGTTACTACTATTTTGACAAAAATAAGCCAAACTGTAAATATAGACAAAATCCTTAAAGTCCCTATATAAAGTTTAAACCACTTTGGCTTATATTGTAGTCTAAACCAATGTTATCAAAGTGTGATATGTGAATTTTTTTTTTAATTTCAAAAAGTGGTTTTTGATAGACTTTTTGTTCCAAAATTTGTGAATTTATCTAAAACTAACTTTTAGAGGTCAAATATATCTTTTAATTAGCCACAGTTCATACCAATGCATAGCATTCATCCTCGCATGTTTTTTGCCGAAAAAATAAGAGAATCGGTTCATAAAGAAGCGAAAAATGAACTTATCAGTGCATAAAAATGGTTCCGAGAAAAAAATGCATATCAAAATTTTAGTTCTCATAGAAACCAATGGTACAATGATATCTAAAACATAATATATTCTTTCTTTTAACCTGGTTAGACAATCAACATTGGTTTATTATTGAAGTCTAGCATATTTAGAAAAGATTGACATCGAAAAAAAAAATTCAATTTTTTCAAAAGGTTTTTGCTACGTTAGTGACATCACTAATGTTTCAAAATCTTTTTGATATGCTAAAACATTGAAGTGGCCCATTGAATATGGCATTTTATTATTGAAATTCTGTGTCCTTTGTTCAATCTTTGCATTGGTTTTAAAAAGATAATCTTTTTTGAAATGCATTAAGAAATATTTGATGATTAAAAAATGTCAACTTTTTTTGAAAAATGGCGGGAAATTTGAATATTTGAGAAATGAAAAGCTATTTTTCAAAAATCTCTAAAATAACTTTTTGAGTCATGACAAATAGTAAATGAATGATAAAAAATATTTTCAAACTTTAGACGGGGGCTTTAAACCTTTGATGGAGAATAAGACAATGGAAAGATATTAATATATATGCTAATCTAAGTAAGTATGAAGTGAGTAATTGATGTGTTAATTAAGCTAGAATTCTTATGATAAGTCATAGAAGTATAATATCCTGAAAAATCGCCGAAGTTGGTGAACTGTGAAAAATAATTGAGTATACTCCAGTGGAAATTATGACTTTGCCATGGAAACAAACATTTAACCTTTTACTAAGTGTATTTATACGGGCATTAAGATAAGAAAAGAAACACGAGAATAACGAACTATAAATATTATTTATAGCCCGCAAAACATGCACATGATGAAAATATCAATGCAAGACACTATCGTTAGGTTACGTGAATAGCAATCTCTTCAAAATGACAGAAATGACTCAGGAAAATATCATGACACACAATAAATGAGCCAGGCCACAGGAAAAGGGGTCTTATCACTGAATTTTTCAATATTCTGATTTTTTTATCTTACAAAGCACAAAGAGACCTTTCAAATGAGCCATGGCTTATGTCTTAACAATTTTTCCTTGCATATATAGATCAAAAAGTCGTATTTGAATTTATCACATTTTCCTCTAAATCTTGGGCACATTTTTGGCTCTGTAGCACAATTCTAATTTATGTGATGAGACCGGTTTTTCTATGGCCAGACTCAACTAATAATTGAAATTAAGTAACAAAACCTCTCGCACAATAATAAATGAATACCCGACTGTCATTTTTTTGATATTGGACGTAAATTAGCCATAAAAATCAAATCGTTTTACCTGATCTTCTGTCGATTTATAAACTGTTTTTGATTTCTCTTTCTCGTTTAGGTCTTATGGCTCTGGCTTGTTCGTCTACGATTAGATCCCCTCTGAATAATTCACGTACTATCCTATTAGTCACCCAATACAATGAACACACAGGCGTGTTTAATGCATGTGATATTGTGACTGTAGCTTTGAATTACATGGAGCTGTTTATTTGCCGGGTTATCTAATCCAATTTCTGCGTCAGATTTTGAAAATAAAGAGAGAATATCCAATAGAAAATTAACGCAACGTACATGTAACGTTGTCTAATTTGTTTTTATTTGTTTCAATTTCACAGCAATTACACTAGCAACTTGCGTTTATTCATTTATATTAAACAATAAGCCGTGCGTTTTTGTGCAAATAGCGTCTAGAACATTGAGAAACTTCATTCATGCAAGTTGCAACCACTCAACCCGTATATTCAGATAACATACTTTTAATATCATATATCGTCTGGTATCTATACTTGTATCAGCTTCCAATTCAGTACTTTTAGAACAGGCAATTTCAGACTAAACATTCAGTGAGTTGAACACAATCCACTGAATCCAGAAGTTTTTGCCAACGCTATCCTCCCTTACGTTTGTTCCAATTATCAACGCATGCGCAATCAATTAGAATCTTTCACTAGCTTTAAATAAAGAGAGACTCTGGTAAATCAGGATGTTTAAATATAGTAATGTATAATATGTTCCTTTCATTCCAAATATCACTGGTTCTGGGAGACAGACCCAGCAACAATGTACAAGCACACACGCGAACGACAAATCAGCATTAAAATTAATTCGTGTTAGGTTTCTATATTAAAGACCTATAAATAACAGGCCTCGCTGAAATAGGCACGTAAGTGTTTTTTCGTCAGGAAGTATTAGTAATTTTCTTCAAATTGGTACATTATTAAGTTCTATATTATATTGTCCTTAATCATTGGTCAAAAATCGACAAACAAATGACGTCATCAATGGCGGCTTCAAAATTTTCGAAATACGTTTCGAATAATATTATGTAATTTCTGGCGTGTTAACCAATATCATAGATTCTTATTTGACATTAATTAAGATAAAGAAAGCTGAGAAAGGTGAACGGAATATTCCTACATTAATTAAAACATCACATCGAAGTGTAGTATTTGAAAACCTCTTCTATCTGTTTTGAAAATTTCGATATGAGATGTACAGTGTATATTTCATAGTTTTTCTAAGAAATTTTTAAATATCCCGTTGTGGATTTGTCTTTACATCGTAATTTCAATCACCGAATTTCCAACGAGTTACCTTGAAATATCAAAAAGGATCTGTCATTTTCATTGTCATTCACCATTTATTAAGCAGTAAAAAATGATTTGTTACATGGATGGGTGACAAAATGTTACTGGTTTCCTACTCAATGTCGAGTTTCTCATCATGCGAATGTAGTTTTATACGATTTGTCTGCATAGGGTGTTGCTACAGACAAGAAAAATTGATGTATAGTATTGTTAATTTCAAGTCATTTAAGTCATGCACCTTTGTGTTAAAGAGAAAAAACTAGAGATCGACAACTTCACGGAGAAGCAAATCCCAACGAACAATATATTCCTGAGTCTGTATGTCGCAATATAATTTTTATCAATTAACCTTGACTTAAGTATAGGCAGATATATAAAACATACATTTGAGATATATCAGAATTTCCACCGATTTAAGTATTTGGGTGTCCATTTAGGATTTCAAAGGCACATATCATTTTATAATACAATATTTGAGATCTAATCTACATTGCAGCATTATGCAACCATACTTTGAAGAGATCTCTACGTAATAGTTAATTTCTGCTTTGGACAGCCATTTTGATCTCATAATTCACGCAACTTACTGTTTTTCCGGCCATATAGATAGATAGAAATTATGAATCAAAAATAATAATTTTAAGTTTGGCATAAAATGCAAATGTGAAGGTTTTCGTGAAAAATTCTGTTCTTTTAAAAGCTGCTGCCTTCTTGTTAAAAAAAATTTGTTTAAAACTATTTATAAATATACATCTTTCAACCAAATATGAGGAAAATCCGTCAACAAGTATTCGAGTTATCTTCTGGACTGACTCACTGAAGGACGGACGGAGGCGTCTCCTAAATCTCTCCGAACTTCGTTCGATGGGATAATAAGAGGTAAAAAGATTGAATGGAAATCATCTTCAATTTTTTCAAAATCTTGAAAACGAACCGTATGTTTCATTCATTATTGCGTTGTTATCAATAGTTGATGTGCTGGAATGTTTTTTTTCAAAATCCTATCGTAAATATTTATTTGAAAAGATGATCTTGTTATTTACATGCCAAATACCATGACGTCAATGATTTGAAGTAATGAATTACTCGTAAATGTAAAATTGATCACTTGGAGTGCCTTACTAGGCTTTAAGGAATTACTCCTAATAAAGCTCTGATATTTTAATAGATTACATCACAATAGAACGTGGGATTTGATCCAAGTCAATTGAACGGTATATGTATCAAATATAAAAAAACATTTCTACACGCCAGATCAGATCTGAATTTAGCATTTTTCTAGACCCATCATACACGCAAAGTTGCGTTAAGCCGACATTAGTACCCCAGTCACATTTGTCGTACGGCGACAGCTTAGAAAGACTAGAAAATGTGACTGTGACTTCAATAATACGTTTGCTCATGACCATTCCTTACTAACATGGACGTATCGGTTGGTATTGGTATTTGTGAAATGCGCTTCCCCGTTTCGGTTTAATTAAGACATACGCTATTGCCATTGCCATTCAACCTAATAGCCTGATCTGAATGTGATTAATAACTTCCGTCCATATAGATTGCTGTGTATTCGGATCAGGTTTTGTTGTTATATCAACTGAATTGATATACCCATGTAATCCTCTTGGGTAGCTTTAGACTGGTCCAATTTTCTTGTATTAGTTGCATGCTCTGCTTTGAACAATATTGTATAATAATAATATTTTTCATCCTTTCAAGCTCAGATTTATTTCTTCTCCAGCAATTTCTTAAAATATTTTGATACTAGACAGTTTCGTATGGGGTGTACCCGTAATCCTGATAAATATTGTACCATTAACAGTATCCACGGGAGAAATAAATAAGCGACGAGGCAAAAATATCCTCTTGTGAGACACATTTCCTTCCAAGTAAAATCAAAAATCGTGGTTGTTTATAAAAAGAAATCGGGTTGATTTTCTAAAAATTGGAAAAAATCGGGGCTTCTAAAAAATCAGGGCTACAAAAAAACAAATCGAAAATTTAAAAAATCGGGGCGAGATTCGGGGCTCACTTTCTGAAAAATCGTATATATATTAGCTAACTCAGAAATACGCACTTAAATAATTCGTCGAAAATATGATTAATTAGACCTTTTTGACTCTGAGAAGGTCATTGAAGGTGAAATTTCAAATCTAAAGTCAGATTTGAACTTCTGAAAATTTGTAGATTTTGAAAAAATGGTCAATTTGAAGCATGATGAAAAAGACCTTTTTGACCTTGAGATGGTCATTGAAGGTCAAATCTTTTTTTTACCTTGAGAATGTCATTTAAGGTCAAATGTATAGTCAGATTTGAACTTTTGAGAACTTATACAAGCAAAATGAAAAAAGACCTTTTTGACCTTTAGAATGTCATTGAGGGTCAATGCTTTTTTGACCTTGAGAATGTCATAGAAGGTCAAATCTATAGCGAGATTTGAACTGTTGAAAACTTGTAGATGTTTTTGAAAAAAATTGATAAATTTGAAGCAAGTTGAAAAATACTTGTTTTGACCTTTATTGACCGTGAGAAGGTCATTGAAAGTCAAATCTCAAATCTAAAGTCAGATTTGAACTTCTGAAAACCTGTAGATGATTTGGAAAAAATTGAAGTCAGTCTAAACAGTATTTGTTAAGTTATTGGAAGTTGTAAGAATTTGTTACAGAAGCTGATACATCATGAAAAATTAACAAAAATAAATAATCTCATCTACTCTGTAATACACATGGTTGCTTACCTAATTAAAGGTGTAACAATTTGTGCAGGAGGGCCAATCAACCATCACAGTATCAATATATATATATATTTAAGTTTGGATATTTCATCAAGACTAACATATATATTTTTATTATCTGCAAAGAAACCTCCTGAATGAACATTATTTCAACTGATATTCCTCTTGAACCGTGGTGAATCTGGGACCCCCTTTATAGAAGCTTTGAACTGAATTTACACTTCTTAATGCTGAAATTGATACTTAGTTTATTCATACATTAAAAGAAAATAGGTATGTCAAAGAAGATGTTAAGCCAAATATTGACCCGATAGTTCAGAACTAAATAAAAATTTTCGAATTTTTTCTCTACGGTCTTTGTTGCCCCTTTAATATATATTTTGTAGTTAGAAGACTTAGAAAGAAAGAGTAACATACGAAAAGGCCAGCAGCGAATTGTGACATCTTGACGTGTTTTTACACTTTTTATAATATACACTCAAAAATGATTTCCATGTAAATGTAGGTTCCCACCTACCTCGCTTTAGGATCCTCTAATCATATCACATTGAAGGTTACACCCTCAACCCGGGCCGTATCGGTTGACCCTCAGTTCGATTCGTCTATTTGGAAATGCACAGAATAAAAGAGAGACGTCACTGTCCGCCAAGCTGACCACAATATTCTTCCGCCAAAGAATGGCGTTGTCATTGCCCGCCAAGCTGATCGCAATATCCTTCCGCCAAAGTATAATCATGTCCAAGAACTATCACCTGTAGCATCATCACTCAACCCGGCTTAGACTAGTGGTCGGGCATCTACCTAGCTATGACGCAGTGTCCCTGGGTTCCACCTAATTGTTTTGGAAACCCAGGTTCGGAAATAATTAAGCTGATGAACAACTGCGTAATTCTAGGAGTTAATATCTTATCCCAAGAATCTGCATGTGAATTTTGTCTTACCCCGGGTATCTTACCAATTAATTTCTCGCTCCCTGAGCCAATGGAGGGTGCCAGTTAATTCTTCCCTAGTATATACTGTACATACTAGTTATCCATAATTAATCTTCAGTGAGAACACGTCCGTTTGCGCAAATTGTGTCAATGGAGGATAATATATGTATATAATAGGATTTCATTAGTACTGATGCCTTTTTAGGGCTAAACGTACATCCGATATGCAATATTCAATAACAGTAAATATAGCAATAAAGAAAATAGGATTAGATTCTTCAAATTCAAATATATGAAAAAATATGTGAAATAGAAAGTAATTTTGGTAAAGGAAAACTCAATAGTCTACACATTCTTCCTAAAGTATATATGAAGGTTGTTTTAGAGGTTTTGGATATGGAGCATATCCTGAGATATGTTACCGAGGGCCCGAGGATATATCCCATATTCAAAATCGAGCATCGCCACATTATCCTAGCTCAAGTGAGGTTTTCAGGGCACCCATGATATGCAGTTGTGTACTCTCTTTTTCTCAATGGTTTCGAAAAATCAAACATTTTGGTCAAGCAAAATTCTACCGTCTGCTAAAAAAAAATAAAAAGACGTAAATTAACACACGTAAAAATGGTTGCCATTTTTCAAAATGGGCGCCTACTCCCCAAAGTGTCATTAGACAGTGTGCCATGCTTATAGTATTCACAAATCAAATATAAAAAAATCGGATCGCTCCATTACTTTTAGAGTTCTAGTGAAAAACGTAATGGCGGTCATTTTTCAAAATGGCCACTTTCGACTGAAAGCGTCATAATCAGATAACAGCCGTGGGCTGCCGCTATTTCAAGATGGCTGGCATGTGTTTCTTCAATGCAGTCTACATTTCTAGCTTTATTAATGTCCTATATAATTTTTTAATTTAAAACATATTGCTATTACAGTTTTACATATTGTACCTAAATTACTGTCAAATCAGCACTCCAATTTGGCGCCATTTTTTAACGAGCTGGCGTTTTGAAATCGGCTTTAGGGTATATGTGTACAAAATATGAACAATATCGGTTCATTGGTATTTGAGTTATTGTCTGGACGGACGTACGAAAGGGTATACGTATTGACATACGTCTGGAGGTGTTCCCTATATCCCTCCGAACTTCGTTCGATGGGAATATTTGTGTTTTAAATATTACCATTTCATGCATGGATGAGTTCATTTTTCCTTTTAATTATTCATCTACTTTCTTTACAAAAAACATGTGAGGACGAATGCTAACAGGGTTCTCACCAGGAAAGTATTAGACCCCGGATTTATAGCGGTATTGTGACTACTTTTTTCGCGATAGCGCGACTATTTCTCAACCATGTGAGATCAGAGATATCCTATTAGTATACTTTTCAACACACTTCTTAAGATTATCTTGCTATTTTAATCCCAATATTTATTTCTAAAAGGTTTCTGACTTCCTATTCCTTGTTTGTACCCAGTTTTATGTATTTTCTCCAGAGTTTTACCTCAAATAACGTGACAAAAATGAAAAATTAGACTCTGGAAAAAACACTTCAGACTCCGGATAAGCTACTCTGGAGCAAGAAGGTTTCAAGACATTAGACTCCGGACTCTCCGGAGTCTAAAAACCTAGTGAAAGCATTGGTGTAAATTATCCTTTATTAAAAGATATGTGTGAGCTCTAAAATTTAAATAAATTCACGATTTTTGAACAAACAATAAACCACTTTTTGAAATTCAAAAACAAAGGTTCACATATCACATTTTGATAGCATTGGGTAAGACTACTATATAAGCCAAAGTGGTTCAAACTTTATATGGTGCCTTTAAGAACTCCCATGTGGGAATCTTTATTAACTGAATAGTTTGCCTTTAATGAACTGGATAAATCATATTTTTCTTTTCTTTATCCATAATGCCCCATGGCATTTATTATCAGAACAACAAACAACAAATTGGGTCTTACTTTGAATTAGATGCCCGAAGACAATATCGGGTACATGCCTTATCTTATTAAAGATGATCCAAAAGATAAAGAATTATTCAGATTTAATACAATATTGCATTTTATTTTATACATATTCACATACACTTGTTCACAGTACAATTACTTTTATGCTCATACATGTAGTACAGTAATTTTTATGTTCACAGTACAATAATTTTTATGTTCACAATACACAGTAACTTTTATTCGCAGTCCAATAACCTTTATTCACAGTGCAATATACACATTCATTTACACTTGGACTTGCAGCAAGTTTATATAAAGAGATTATGAACAATGAAACAAATCACTTCTTTGATAATTGAATTCTCAGCAATCAATGTGTCTTTCAATCAATATTTTCTATCCATAGAGTATTTTCCTTTGTAGGTATTTACATCAACTCAGTCCATCTATTTGGTTCTGTATAGTCTGGAGCTGAAACATACACATATATAATATACTTTATTTCATTAGTGTAATGCAAACATAGTTAGGTATTCTACATGTAAACCACTTTAATAACTATGGTATATCATATATCTTATATACAAACTGATTAACTCTGAAACTCTGTACGTATATAGAGAAAAAGCGATATTCTGTCCCATATATGAACATGTTGTGATACAAAATTTGAATTCAAATAGCCGCCATTTTGTTCACTTCAAAATTTGAATTGTGAATTTTGGCCTTATTTCAAAAACTCGCAAGAAATGATCAAAATAATTGGTTCAAATGTTTTGAATTGTTTATTTTGAATTTATAGTCGGTTATAAATTCAGTAAATAACGGCATTTCGACGAAAATATCGAGTTTGATCCTGGAGCCAATTCTCCTTGGAGTAGCTGGGAGAGAACAAGTCATCCACCATATTTTCCAGAAAACTTTTTAATAATTTTAAACTTTAAAGCATTCCTAACATAAAAAATATTTTGTATAACTCATAAGCAATATTCATTATAATCACAGCTTTTAAAAAATGATGGCCATATTCTGCTAAGGTACCAAATTTTCATCTTTTGTTCGAAAATGATAAATGATCGTATTTTTTTCAAGAATAAGCATGATCTTTATTCCAATTAAAATCATGTTTTCTCCATAAGACTTTTACTATTTGACAATTTCATTTATTTGGATTAACTTGGATTGAATATGTCTCATTTGTGATATTAATACTAGCTTAATTTATGGATTGCTTCTTGAATTCTGACCTAATGTACTATGGCAGCCATAACATATACTTTCTTTTCAAGAGATGCGTTTCACCAGCCACACAAAGAAATTAAAACAAGAAAACATAATTTATATTACTTCATTATTCTATTTTAACTAATAAATTCTGTGAAATAGATGAAAAACATGAGTAAAAACTTTTGTACATGAGCCAGTTCATGAGCTTGCACTCAAAATAAATAACTACTAGAATTATCCTCAATTTCCAACGAGAAAAAACAGCAACTCCACGGAGAGGCAAATCCCACAGAACAAAACATGTTTTGATAAATAGCCGCCATCTTGAAAATTTCTGCTCCTTTGTATCAGCATGAACCAAATCCATCCACTGCACTGGTATTTCAGTTATCAAAGATTATATTTTTTATGTTTATCAAAGATTATATTTTTAATGAAAGATGGTGGCCATTTTGATAAATAGTGGCTATCTTAAAAAAAATTTCTTGAATAGAGCTCCCCTATCTCTATGCATCACCATATAAAACTTGAACCAAATAAGTCAACTGGTATTTGATTTATCAATCAAAGATTTCGTTCTTTTATGAAAAATGGCGGCCATCTTTAAAATCAACTGCCATCTTAAATACTTCCTTCTCGACCAGAGCTCCTGTATGGCTAGACATCAGCATATAAAATTTGAACCAAATCAGTCCACTGGTATTTATCACAGATTACGTTATTTTACGAAAAACAGCGGCCATTTTGAGAGTCAGTTGCCATCTTGAGAATCCTTTCTCAAGAAAACTCCTGTGTTGCTAAGCATCAGCATATAAAACTTGAAGCAAATCTGTCCTGAAATATTTCTATTTACGTTCTATTTATACCTTGCAGGAACAATGTACATAAGCAATATATACATGTACATGTAGAGGCAGCTAAGTGTAGGTTAACAATAATGTCTAGAATGCACTTTCACCATGTGAGCCCAATGCTATTTTTTCTCATTTTCATTTCCAAAGATGATTAACCAATAACAGCTATTTTGCAGATGTTGACTGATACAGGCGTTTCACTAGAATTTCTCACACTAGGCTAAGTAAATGAAAACAACAGGCAAAATTAATGGAAATCATTGATTTAACATAGAAAAGTTGAAAAGTCCCTAGAAACAACAGGCGATTTTGTGAAAACAACAAGTATAAATCCCCTGTTGCCTGCTGCTAATGAAGCCCCTGCTGATACAATGGTATTTTACATAAGATCATGACCTCATGTTATGACAATGCAGTACAAAATCCGAAAGTATCTAGTTCATTATTAAGTTTTACTTTACTTTGATAATTATTCTTAAAATACATTGCTCTTGAACGATTACACATCGATAATTGAGAAACTGCATCAGAGTCTGTATTAAATGGTAATTTTTCTTGTGTTACCAACAACAATAGTTCCGTTGAAAGCCCATGCTATTATGTTGCAGTTATCACCCATTTTACCATATAAATAGAATGGTACATATTGCATACTGTATACACGTATACATGTATATAAATATAACTTATTGAATCTTTGATGACATCAGAATTATAAGATTAGGCCATAAGAAGTAGATTCTTTGTTTTAAGTCCTGGCAAAATCCAAATCATGCAAGGGTACAAGGAAAACAAACACAAACTCAAGAAAAAACACAAACTTTTTTGCTGAGAAATGAATGCATTTTAAGGGCATAAAAAGGGATGACATACATTTGTGATTACAAACACATATCTATACATTTTATACAATATATTTAAACATACAGCTATTATTCAAAGGTAAAAAATAAGAAAATAAACCATGTATGCCAAAATAATCAATAACTCTGTCAATTTTGAGGCACATCAAATTAACCGTCATTTCTTCTGATTCTGATTGAACGAAATGCGATGGTACTTTCAGACCCTTGTGATTGCTATTTGGATATGTGTTTGTTTTTTCTGATTTACTCAAAATCGTGCAAGCAAGGGAACGCAAAACAAAGAATCTACTTCTCATGGCCTTACGTATGTTCATGTAAATATATCAAAAAATAAAGATGTTAGTGATTTGTAAGTAAAAATAAAATCAATCTTTCCTGATAATGTAGCATAATTTTGATAGTTTAGTGAGTTTTTGTCATGAAACATTCAGAAAAAACAGTTTAACAAAGATTGAAAATTTGTTTGTTCTGCTACGAAAGCAATAATTTTCTTTGCATCGTGTGGCCTTGTACCATGCAATAAACTACGGATTTCCAGAGGAGTGACACTGAGTAGCTGAAAACACAATTGCAACTTCAATTACATTTCCCTGTTTATTCTGTTTGTATTTAAGAGAGACATGGGGTATCATGGGCGTAAGGCTATATTTTGAGTTGGTGTTGATGTTCATATCCTGGAGTTAGATTTTAACTTCATCATCATTTTTCAAATTTAAAATGATGCAGAAAGGGTGCCTTAATGTCTTTGAAAACTCACGCCCTTTATTCTCTAGTATAAGGGCCATGTTAAGCAGGATGTCGTTTCATTGGGTACTCATACTAAGCCCCAGGTATTAAATAAAACCTTGCTGCATGTAACATATACTTTTATTCAAATATATTCACGAGTCATTGCCATCAGAATAAGACATGTACTGTGATATAAGATCCACAAGTTTTAAGACCCCTAACTACAGGGTGTTCAAAAAAACGCAACCCAAAGAAATTGCTATATCTTGGAAAGTTACTGCAATTATGTTCATTTTTTCAGGAAAGAAAGAAGAGACTATGTATATATTCCTCCTGTAGTTGGTAAGTTATAAAACTTGATGCCTTAGACACCTGCTCAAAAGACATTAGTATTGGAAAAATACGAAAAACGCAGTCAGGGGTGACTGCCACTGAAATAAAACTGAATAACTTTCTAATCATAGTGTTTTAGCTCTTCAAATTTGGCACAAATCATCTTCATTCAAAGTATGTTAAATCTGTTGAGTGAAATCAAAATCACCCCAGGGACTTTACAGATATGGTCGAAATGCGTTCAAAACGCAGTCAAACGCCCTGGTTCAGGCAGACTTAAGAAGGTATTTTGACCATGACTGTAAAGTCCCTGGAGCGATTTTGATGAAACTCCACAAATTCACCACACATTGAATGAGGATAATTTGTGCCAAATCTGAAGTGCCAAAACACTATGGTTGGAAAGTTATTCAGTTTTATTGCTGTGGCAGTCACCTTTGACTGCATTTTTCGTATCTTTCTAATACTAATGTCTTTTGAGCAGGCGTCCAAGGCTTCATGTTTTACAACTAAATAACTACAGGAGCTCTACATGCACAGTCTCTTCTTTCTTTCCTGAAAAAATGAGTGCAATTGTATAAGTATTTTCCAAGATATAGCGATTTGTTTGGGTTGTGTTTTTTTTAACACCCTGTACATGAAATATAAGCTGAATTCTAATATATGATATGTGACGTCACGCTAGCTAGAACAATTGATTTACTGGTCTATATTTGAGTATCTATGGCCGCTAAAATTCATGAATGCAAATGTTGTGTTTCTTGTCTGTTTATTATCATATTAGAATCGTAACAAAGACCTCGATTTTATTTTTTTATGTCAAATATATGACCTCAAATTTTAAATGCCTTAAATCTAACTTCTCTTGGATCACAAAAAACCTATCATATCATGGCATGACATTGCTGGGATGAAATGAGATGTCATGCCTTATCATCATGTTATCTTGTAATTTATGTGTGTGGTGAATGTAATCTTGAATTATTTATTTGCATTAAGAATTCTTTAAGATAAAATGTGACATTGAACATCTTTGAATAAAGGATCTAATAATGAGCTGAAACAGATCAGTTTCAAGTATTATACTTGTGTGTGAAAATGGAAAATGTACAAAAGTGCAAGAGTGTAACAGTGGAATGTCATGGAACATTTTTTGAAGCACCTGAAAATAGTTAGGGGCTTTAAAGCTGGTGGCTGGCAGTCTGCTCACTGCAGTCAAACTTGATATAAATTTATATTACTATGTATACTTTCCACACCAAAGGGGGGCCAATAATGCTCGGCCCTCCACAATTATGTACATGTATAAAGCTCAATATAATTCATTTTGCAAATAAAAACAATTAACCCCCAAAAATAGTAAGGGGATTTTGAAACTTGGCCACAAAGGAAACAAATGTCAGGGAAGTTATATAAATATGCATGGATATGAATTTCATTCTGAAGAGGTTGAATGAATCCTATTTCATTTAATTCGACTGAGATATATATGTATACACATATATCAATATAGTTAGAAAGATCATCTTGAATAAGTATTTATTTCCACAGGATGTACACAGTGAGAGATAGCATCGTGCTGAGTGTTCTCTGTTGGGCTGAAGACATCATGTATTGATTATATATCAACTCTGTTTTAATAATACCATATAATATATAAAATACTGTATGTAATAATAATATTAAACTGTATGTAATATACTGTACTTAAAGACCAAAGTCCTCTTAAAGCATATATCAAAATGACATTTTAAGTGCTAAATTACATGTAATTTCATCAAATTATTTTTGCTGCTTGCATGGGATTACGATTTATGATTTGTGTTTATGGTTTATGATTTATGATTCTCGTGTTTAATCATGCATATTACTGTAGCTTGATGCATAATCTCTTGTCCTGTAATTGTCAGCTTTTTGTGTTGAAATCCTTTAATAATTCATCTATAAAAAGAATAAACTTCAGAGAATAAAAATATATCTGACATTTAGACTAAATAGCCTGGAAAATGAATATTTTTTCAATAGCTAGGATTGCAATGACCTATTCATGCAACTCTTCATGCTACTAAATGTCTGTGATAAATCTGATATATTGGAAAACGTGAATTATTTTCTGTTAAATAACAATTATAATCTCAGTCTAAACCAATAATCATGACTTATTTAGCTGTTAGTGACTTTGAAAATGATTTTATATTTTACCCAGGGATAAGGTCAATGTTGTTCTGAACTGTGAATGATAACTATGAGGAAATTAATGAAAATGATCTTCAAAACACTTATAGGCCACGTGCAAAGTTTGAAAATAAAGTTAATTCAAATATTCAATCAAATAAATTCACATCTTTTTTTAAAAAAAAGTCCTTCAAAACCATTTTTTTTAAATTAAGTTAAAAGGTTTCACATATACCACATTTTGATAACATTTGACAAGACCATGTTATATTTAAAGTATAAGCCAAAGTGGTTTGAAATGAGATATACAAGTTGTATTAAGTCTCTAACAATGCAGCTCAATTTTCTAATTGGTGTACTTGCTGAATTCTCCATCTTCTAAGTTCCTTTGTCTAATAATCTCAAAAATTGTGCAATGTGAAAGCTTCTCTGATTTTCTACAATCTGTGATTTGTGCAAGAGGACAACTTGAACAACCAATTAAGACAACTTGAACAACCAATCCACATGTTTATCGCAAACTGCTAAAAATTACAATTCCGTTAAAAACAATATTGCCCCCTATTTCACGTAGTACCATTCACACGCCCGGTGATCGTACAAAATGGATGGAGGGGGGATTAGGTGATTTCTGCAAGAAAATTTACAACTGAATTGCCAAATGAATGGGCGCAGTGCATGGCAAAATACGTTAGGTCATCTCGTTATTAATTTATTTCGATTATTTTTGTATAACGCATGGAAACTAACTTTAAAAAGTGAGCAATCTCATTAGTATTGTGATAACGTCCCCTATACCTATTTATTATAGGTCATGTAGACCACTGTTGCCCGATTTATAGCAAAAACATTGACTTTTGCATGTTGTTGATGATGCGCCTTTTTTAATAGATCTCATATCTTAGAAGGGTATCAGTTAAAAAAACAAACTAGATGACCTAACATATTTTGCCATGCACTGCACCTATTCATTTGGCAATTTAGTTGGAAATTTTCTCTTGAAAAAATAAATCTTCCAAATTTGTTGAGTTTTCTTGCAGAAATCGCCTAATCCCCCTGCATCCATTTTGTAGGATAACCGGGCGTGATTCAGATGTACCAATTTTTACCATGATTTTGAGGTAAACAAAGTCACATTTTGAAATAGAATCCCTCACATCATTTTCTCAGCTTTATAGTGACATTATTTGTGAGATGTTTGAACAAATGAAAACTTGAGATAATTCATATTTCTTCTCCGGTAGGTACGTACATTGTATTGAGACCATTAAGTCAATGGTAGATTCCTTTCCATTTCTTCAAGTGCATGCCCAAATGTAATAAAGAGTAAATGATGTCATAAAAATAGTAAATAGATTATTAAAAAAAATTTAAAACTTTACATAGGGTGTTTAAGGGTATTTTTAGTCACTTCCTTTAACATGGATGTACACAAACAAATGTTGCACAATGTTTTTCTACTGTAATTATAACATACGTGACATCCGTGGATGTATATCAAAATATAAATATTTCCCTTAATTTGCTTAAATGTTTTCTGTTCATGTGTTATCTTGTATGCTCAATGATGATTAATATACCTGGACAGTGTGCAAGGCTATTATCCAAAAGCTGGTTCAGTAGTTGTTTTGCAGAGGTTTCAAAACAAGATATGCTTACATGAAATGCAATATGTTTATCTGTGTGTGAAAGGTATAAGTAGAGAATCTTTAATTCATAGCTCCATGTGTTGATGATATTTGATCGGAACATACAGTTAATATTATGGTGATGGACAAGTCGTAGACATTTAACTCGGTTTACAATTGAATTTATACCAGGATTTTGAAGATGATGCAATGATCACTCTTTAAAAATGTGATAGAAATATTTTAAGAATACAGTAGAAACTGTATATCTGAACACCTGGCTAATCCGAACAGCTTCCAATTTGAACACTTTTTTCGGTCCCATTTTTCCCTTTGACTCCCATGTTAAATAAACCTTGACATCTGAACACCTCCTAATCTGAACAGTGAACAACCAGAAATGAAAAGTGACTTGTCTAATCTGAACATTTTTATCAGAAATCAAATGTCTGAACATTTCAATAATAGCCACATATTGAGTCAATGTTAGTTTTTACTTATCTTTACATATACATTGTAATCAAAGAACCAATATTGTCCTAATTAACTTATTTAGTCTCAGTGACATCCCTAATTTGTGGAAAACAACAGGATGTTTTAGAAAGGTGTGAATAAAGGAGTTTATTTGTTTATCCTATTTGAAAAGAACTAAATGTTTTATGTTTGGATTAAGAGAGTGTGAATCAAGAAGATAATTGATTTATCATTATTGGAAATTACTTGGATGTTTTTTATTTGGATTAAGAGAAAGGTGAGAATCTGGGAGGTTTGTCCTTATTGTTAATTAATTGGATGTTTTTGATTTGGATTATTAACAGGTCTTAGATGTTTTATGTCCCATGGGTCTGTTATGATAGCTAAGATTCAATCAGTAAATGTTTTATAATCACAAAGACAACACAGACACATTTGCAGACAAGATTATATCACGAGAAAGAGAAAAAATTCAACTTCGTAATATTCTATCACTAAAATGCCTCCTAAAAAGGGATATATTTGACTTCCTGAATTCCCTTGATATTTTGGAGGATTATACATCATCTTGAATGAACACTCATGAAAATTCTTTTCACTTGAAGAGGATATCTACTTAAATATTGCTAATGCTAAAAGTGCCAAAAAACAAACAACAATGAAGGACTTTTTCAAGCAAAAGTAAAGCAGTGCTATTGCTATATAACCATACTATGGATAAGTCATTTGAGAAGCATAAGATTTCGTACGAGACTATCATATACTTATACAGTGTATTACAAAGTTTTTGCCAAAATATAAGTTATTTTTACTAAAATAATGAAATCGAAATAGCATATAGGCTAGGCCTATTGTACTATTGTTGAATAAACTCATCAACAACATGTATTTTTTTCTGACTTAGTATTAAGTGTTCAATATGGTGGACTGAACAATGAAAATCCCCCCCCCCCCCCCGATCAACAATATCCTTGAAATTTGATCACCTGCCTATTTGAACGCTTTTGGCTGGTCCCATGGGTGTTCGAATTAGACAGGTTTTACTGTATATCACATCAGAGACAATGCCTTAATGACAACCTCTGTCTTAATATTAAGAGTTTATTTAAAACATCATTAATCTTTTGTACTTTGATGAGTTTACAAGTAAAAAATCCAAAGACTCAGACAAAAACATTGTTATCCAGCTTTAAATAACAAATTTTGATACTCTCAAGCGTGTTCATGTTACCATATTGCAACCCACTACTAACATTATATCTATGACTGAGTATATGGTAACAGACATTTTATGAGAATTTATGGATAATGACGTGATGAAGTTTCTTTTTATCTAATGATAGTTTTGCATTTTGTACATAATTTTCTCATATGAAAACATTTTTTAGTTTTTAAAAAAAAAAACATTCTAAATCTTCAATGACACAATGTTAAAAAAATCCTTAAAACTTTATATACAAGTAAATTACATTAATAAATCCACTTAAATATTCTATAAATTAAGAGGCTTTTCTCACTTTTCTTTTTAAACAAAACTAATCTTGTATTTCCAGTACTTTTCATCCTTATGGGAGTCATGTCCTCCCCGTCTGCTATTTTGAAAAATATGTACGCAGTTTGTCAGGGTTTCAATCTGCGTGCATAATATGCACGCAGTTTTGATACCCAACCGTGGTTATGGTACTTAGACCTGAGCAAAACCACTGGCGCCATCTATACATCCATCTTTATAGCAACTGATCTATTGAAAAGTGAACAAGACAGGTGATTATAAGAGATGCTTAATGTATAATAATACAAAGTAACAAAAACACAACAATGAGCTCACTCACCTGGTTGTAAAAGGCATACAGTTGATCATGCGTGAACTCAAGCCTGATTTTTTCTTTATCCTATAAATAAAAAAAATGATTTATTCACACAATAATTGAAATGTAAATTAAGAACATGTTTGGAGAGACATAAATAATCAAGTATTGGTTCTTCGTACATCTTTTTTTAATTATTCTGCATATTAAAGATGATGAACAACAATGTTATCTTGAATACATAAAAAGTAAATTACCAATACTGTCAACTAAGTAAGGTATAGTGTATACTGTATTCCCAGTGATTTTCGAATGCTACTATATTTCTGGCTTTTTGCAAGTTGCAAGTATTTAAATTGGCTGGCATGAAACCTTTTAAGACAGCAGGTTGTTAAGACAGCAGTCTTTGGCAGATCGATGTACATATGTCTAATTAAAGCAATTTATATATTGAATCAAAGTTTTATTGATATCCTCTGAATTTTGTCCACCATTTTGGATAAGACTAACTCAAGTTAGTTTTATCCTGCAGCTGTGGTGAAAAACAAAGTGATAATATAGAGGCTTTGATGCGGCTTAAACCCACTTGAAATGAGAAAAATTTCTTGAGAGAACACTGTTATCTTCCTGTTTTTAACCTGGAGGTACAATCTTCCTTGTATGAAGCTTAGTGTTTATTACCCTAAGCTTTTGACTGATAATACAGAGATTTATATATTCTAATTTTCTAAGAAACAAAATAATAAATAGAATGAATGCCTGACAATTGAACAAAACAAGAAGATATATCTGACATAGACTTCAATAAATTAAAACTACACCTTGTAAAAGGGAAATTAAAGAAACATAAACCTTCATTTAAATTGAAGACTTTGTTGAATATTTTTTGCAATATTTCTCATTTGCTATAAAAAATTATCATTTCAATTTGTGTTTCTCTTATTTCTGAGCACATTGGAGTTTATATTATGTCAATTCATTCCATAATGTTTTTGCGAAGTAAAATTTTTTCATATATGAAATTTTTCTATGTACTGGATAAAGCATAAGAATGAGATTTTATAAGAAATAATACACCGAAGGCCGAAGGCCTGAGGTTATTATTTCTTATCAAATCGAATTCGAATGCTTTATCTTACTTAAATCACACACATTCTTATTACAGGTAAATGGTATATTGCAGGTAAATGGTCAATGATCTAATCTGGAAAATTTTATTTCTTTTGTGTTGACTGTTCATGTAGGGGTAAGTGGTTTGATACATGTAAGTGAGTGAGTTCTTTTGAGTTGACTGTTCATGTAGTTAGCCAATTAATTGTAACAACAAAAAGAGTTGGTTGCATTGACCTCATGAGTGTGAGTTGATGTAAGTGACTGAGTGGGCTATAATTAGTCTAGCTTCAGTGCACTACAGGTGACTGTCCAGTCCAGAACATTGCATTTGAATACAGCCGAATATTTGTAAGTAAGATAAGATCAATGATGTAGATAGCAACAAAAATTGATAAATTGTTTTATTCTAAAGAATGCACAGTAACAAGAGAAGGGTACATGTATTTTTGTATATTGTTTTTAGGGAATGAAAACTATCAAAAACTGTCAATGGTCATTTATGTCTCACTTGTTTTTGATAGCTTGCCAAGTGTACATTCTTTAAAAACAATAGAAAAATAATGCACTTTCCTTTTGATAAAACCATACATTCTTAAAAATAAACCACAGCAAATTCTATTGTGTTGCTACCCAAGTGGGATTTAAGATGAAATAATTGTTGGGAAAAGCTTATGTTGAAAGATAAATCTGCGGATTATTTACTTCTATATCCTTGATGCATGCTGAAGCAATAATTGACACAGATTCTACATTTTCTTGTTAATATGAGATCTTTTCTCATTAGTAAAGTGCTTATTGCTCTTTTTATATGTGTAATTAAGAGAGGTTATCCAAAAACTGTACTTGTTATTACATTCTTCATACTCATCACCACTTGTAGATTTACTTGACTAACAAATTCAGAAACAATAGTACAGATAAGATATAATAAAAAATAAAATAACATACACATGAAAAGAATGTGCATACAGTTTTTATTTATTTTATTTTATTTTTTATATTTCCTTTATTTCATAATACATCATACAAACAGATACAAGGCCTATGCATACAGTGCTGACAGTAAATAATAATAAAGGGTAGGTTTTCAAACTAAACAGAGTGCTCCTACCAAAATGAATTTGCCTATATACCCCTGAGACTCTTATCTGATAGATAGAATGCAAAAATAAAACAAAAGCTTTGCTATTATAGGTAAAAAGCTCTCTTAAATTTCGAAGCGATTTACCTGTTAATTCTGTCATTGGTTGGCCATTTTTGCGGAAGTTACACTGAATAGAAACACAAACTCCATGGAACAAAACGAAATCACTAGGAAAAAACACGGCACACATCGTGCACATGAGCACTAATATTAAAACCAATAAGACTATTTGATTATTTTGCGCACACAAATTATTTGCTTCTGAGCATTTACCATAAAAGCTAACCACAATAAACAAACCTGGCGGAGATTACCCTTACTTCATTTTAGTGAAATTTCAGCTCAACTCTTCACGCTGGTATGAAGCCTTAGGGACACTCATTTTGGTAAATATGATATACAGTTTTGATGTATACTTTTCTGCAGTTTGTGGGAGTTTGGGACATTAAATGTTAAGATTCAAGAAAATATGCCAACTTTACAACTTATTATAACATACTTTAACTTCATTTAATTCAATTTGATGCTTAGTTTGGTGAATTTTTCAGTGTTTGACATCCGACTGCTACTTCCTTTAGACGAGTTGGTTTTGAGCATTCACAAGTAGTGTACATGTACATAATTGTTTTGAATACTATTGTCTTTTTAACAAAATGATTCTTTTCCTTCAATATAAGTATATATTATAGCCATAGTTCTAAGAGATTGGCAAATTATTGCAAAATCCCACATTTGGTGGCCAAAAGATGAGTACTTCCTGGCCATAAATACAGTGGTTTTTATTAAAACAATATGTTTTCTTTCAAGTGAAGTCCCCATGATAGTAAAATATCAATCCAACTCTCTGAAAAATTATGGATTAGGGCCCCACCTTGGCACTTTTTGAAAAATGTTAGGCTAATTTTCTTAAAAGAGGATCTTGTTCTTCTCAATTTAAACATTTTGAAAGTCTCCTCTACATTATATTAACAATTTCTGAAAAGAGGATGGGTATTGAAATGAGTTAAAGTTAAAAACCACATATCCCATGTTATTTTCCCATGGGGAAAACTCGTGCTATCCATTGTTTACAGTATAATTTTGGTCATCGAAAATTGATATCTTCATAACTAGACTTTCAATACCATTCTATTTTTGAACATGTCTTAGACCCCTTGTTGAATAATGTTTTCATGCAATAAAAATCAGAAAAAGATCCTCGTTTGAGTAAATAGGTTCAATATTTTGAATAAAATGTTGACATGGGGTCCCTATTCATAATTATTCAAATTGTTTGATTTATATTTTTATCATCATGGGTACTTCACTTGAAACAAAACATATTGTTTTAATAAAAACCACTGTATTTTTATGCCCAGAAAGTACTCAAGGTGAAAGATATGACCGACTAAAATCATTTGCCATACTGCACATGGTCTTTTGAAAAATAATATATTATTTGCAATCTACTCTAAATTGCCTTTCATTTGAATATAATGAAGGTATCCTTCAGAGAGATCTCTAAATTAAAGAAAATTCCCATTTTCCTACCCCAATATAAATTACTTATAAATTAATGAAGGCAATTTGTAAGAGATGCTCTGCCACAAATCATTTCAAGTTACCATCGAGACGTAATTGTACTTTGGAATCAATGATACCACAAAACCAACAAGGCATTAAGTTAATAAACATGAAAAAATGTCAAAACCACAGACACAGAACACCAATTGCCAACCACCAAATTCATCCACAAAAGACACATAATTCACTCTCACTATAATCATTGTGATTCTGACACCTTACATTTCCATCATTGTCACACTGAGCTAAGTGGTGTTTGGTCTACTGGTACCTTAGCACTTACCTTTTCATCATTGTCATTATTGATGCCTAACTCTAGCATGGCGTTTGGTTGCCGTGACTTGCTCTTGTCGCGTTGACCCATCTGAAGGTTAAGCCGCCAGTTGACATCTTCAAGCTGAAATGACAATAATACTAATGATATTTTCACGGAAAATTAGTATCAAATGACGGGGTGATAACTGGAAATGATCAATTAAAATGAAAGAATACCTTTGAGAGAAACAGCGCTATGTAGACGATGCAAAAACAATGGCTAAATTCTGCAACAGATCAGAAATGCTTCCCAAATCGGTTGGGTTGCTGAGGTTTATGTCTTCTTGTTATTTTGGTAAATAAAGAAAACAACAAAAACATCCCACATTGAATGAAGTCTTTGTGTGCCTTTGAGAGCAATCAACCTCCATTTTAGAAAATTATTAAAGAAATTGAAGGTTGCATCTTTTGGGTCACCCTGTATAAGAGAACATTCATTAATTGTCGATTTTGACTGCATTAGAATATACACTTGCAGATGGCATTCACCAAAACTGAAGAAATATTAAGATAAACTCCATGTATTTTGTATTCATAAAAACATGCTTTGATTACATAATTCTGTTCTAATAAACATGATGTTTATTTGTTTTTTATTTCATAGAGATGAGTGTTTGTGGCAGATTTTCCGAACATGAAGCGGTCGTGTTATTTTGACATCATTGATTTTCATTAAGTATGTTCGTCACATATCATTCCTTATTAATATAATATTATTGAAACCTAGTATTTTAATGTCTATTTCATTTCTGTGCAAATGGATATTACTTGTAGTGTAGATAAAAACATGACAAAATTTTGCTATAACTCTTTTTTTACTCAACTGCGTCTCCTATCTTTAGCTGAGTAATTACGGGCAGATACAGCCGGATGTTTGCATGTCAATATTTGTAAGAAGATACTTATGATTGATTCGATGAATATATTAAAGGTATTGCATAATAAAAATAAATGTCCTCTGTATGGAAAACTTGCTTTAAATGCCTTCTTTCTGATCAATAGTACAATAACGTCATTTCGAAGGGCAATATAGTGAAATATCCATGAGAGATAAAAAAATGACGTTATTAGTATTATTACCACCGTTAATGCCCAGGGCGGAAATAGCATGAAAATCTTAGGTACTGAACAATATATAATATCACTCGGCAAGTGGCAATCGACTTGTTTTCACATTCGCCGATGAAAAATTACACTTGTTACAGTGGCAACACTTGTGAATAAAAATCTTTAAAAAGAAAGTATATAATACATCATCACACAAGCTTAACACATGCACAGAATTAGTGACGATGAAGTCCCATGAAACGAGGACCAAGTGATTAAAGAGTTCAAGCGACGGTTATGTCCACCATTTGTGACAACTGTATCTGACTTTACTGTTGTCAGGCTATTCCGGTGTGAACTGGTGAACTTAGGGGAAATTTTGAAATTCTAATTTACTGTCCACAAGGAACATATCAATATTGATGACAATGTACCTTTAATTAATTGTTTTTAGAGGTGTGAATGAATTAAAGTATTAGATTCTAAAGGGTTGCATAAATATAAATGTGATAAGGATAAGCCATTTGTTAACATTATGTGACATACCAAATATTTTTAAATCTTAAATATCTGTCATTCACTGAGATAACACTAATTCTTTGAACAATGCTTGAGTGTACAGTATCAATTAGTCTATAATCCAGAAATTGACAAAATTGTTTCATGAGATATTTTGAAGATTCCAAACCACAGATTATAAATGCTATAAAATTCACATTCTATTTGTTTTGTTTTAAAGTAAAATGTTCCAGAAAGAACTGTTCCAAAATGCTCTGGTTTATGTCCTCTAAATGTTGTCCTAAACAACATTTTTCTACACTATTATCAGGTTAAAAAGCTAAAAAGAGTCAATCTATTCTTAACTCTATTGTTTTAGTAAAAACATAATAAAAGACAAAACATAGTAAAGAACAAAAAATGTATACTTATTCAACAATATTTTGATTTTGCTGGTGTTAGTGCAAAACTTTGATCCTCTCTGTAAGGCACACATGTCCACAATGAACATTTTATGGAGTGTTCCCTTCCCTGTACCACATATTTAACTGTATGTCATTGTGCCCTTTCAATAAGAATTTTAATATCAGAAAAGAATGAGATATTGAGAAGTAGACATGAAAATAATTGTTTATCCCATGACTGTGTCAATGTTATTGCAATAACAGTCAGTGTAATGTTTCTTCAAAATTTTATTATCCAGTTATATTACAAATTGCGTAATAAAAGGAATTAGGAAAGATAGAGAAAATAATATTGGCAGGGGGCGATTAGCCACAATGACGATTATTATTGTACATATTAAAATAAAACTTTGCCCACGCAAGAATATGCCTATGACGTAGCTAGTAAAATAATTTGCAAAAATCTGAACTGTTGTTTGATTAGATCAGATTTTGTGCAGTAGGTATGTTAAAAATGACTGTATTGCGGGTAACAAATGTCACCAAGCGGTACAGGAATTATCGAAAAAGACGCACCTCCGCAAAACCGAATCTTTCTTCATCGTCTAATACATATCACATGATTGATTTGTGGTTCTGACACTTCAGTCACCTCTACGTACTACAGTAAAACTTGTACCCCTGAGCACCTCTCTAATCCTAACACTTCTTAATGTGAATACTTTTTCTCGGTCCAAATTGTGTTGTTTCCAATTGATTTATATACAGTAGGACCTGTCTAATCCGAATGCCTCTGGGACCAGCCAAAAGTGTTCTGATTAGCAGGTGTTCACATTTCAAGGTTCTATGAACATGTAAGTCAATGAGAGAAAACTATTTTGGGACTGAGAAAAAGTGTTCACATTGAGAGGTTTTCAGATTAGAGAGGTGTTTTGAGGACACGTTGAAATGTGCACAGCTACTAATCCAAACACCTTTGACCGATAACCCTCAGTTTAGACATGTTTTACTGTATTTGGAATACTATTACATTGAGACAATTCCTTCTATTGCATTAAATGAAGAGCATACCAATAATCCTGATACAATCTGCAAATTTCAGATGTTGTTGTGAACATCATTGACCATTTCAGGAATACAAGACGTATTGTTCAGAGTTCACGAAGACAGTGTAATATAGATAAATAATGTAATGTAAGCAGTCCCATTTAATTAGGATAAAATGAAAGAGTAGCACAATTAATTTCTCCAAGATACATTTTAACAAGGTATGTATGAATGGGCATGAGAGATGAGTTATATCAAGGAAATTCCAATAATAATACATCAAAATAGTGACATGACAACTGAAGGCTATTTTTATAGTTATTTTAAGAATTAAGGATGTTCCTAAGAAAAGTACAACAGAATTACAAGAACACATAAACACATAAACAAATGTATACTTAATACTTCTACTTAATTTGGCGGATCTTGTTAAAGTCCTCAAAAGTAGCAGCCAAATTCAATATTTCATATTTCAATCATAAATATGTATAGTACATGTATATACATTTCAATATTGCAATTCCCCCAAATTTAGTAGCCGCCAAATGTCCAAAACAGCAGATCCGCCAAAATAAGTATTGCCAAATTAAGTAGAAGAGTATACTGCTTTATGAAGAGCAATTAAAAGTGTGTTAATGTGTGATAGTGTGTGACAGTGATTCTTTAATGTTGCTCATGATTATCCTGATTTGAATAAATGGACCATACTCATTTATGCTGCAACACAGTTTCTGTATGTGGACAAGATGTATAGAAATGAAGCAATGATTATATCTCATTTGTACCATATACTCTGTAATAACGGCCCACTCCCTAATAAGTGCCCACCCCACTTCTCAAAGTTCAAGAAATATTGAGGATCAAATATGTTGTTACTTCATTCTGATGTTGCAAATAAGCCATTCTTATCAAAAATTGTCATGCATAAAATTCTATGGATTTTTGACTTCATATATGCATGGGCACTTATTTTATTTTTTATTTTTTATCTTATTTGTCTTATTTTATTTATCTTATTTTATTCATCTTATTTTATTTCAGGTTAGCAGCATTCCAATTACAGGAGATACACAGTGCAATTAAACATGATTGTACATAATAGTGATTGATATATGGGCGCTAATCAAAATGGTCCTTGGTATTTTGAATTTTCTAAGCGGAGAAATCTGGACAATAGAGGGTGAACAATATAGAAATGATAAAGCGTCTTTAACAAATCCAATGTCATATTATACATTCATTATATTGTAATGCAGTGTAGTGATAGCATTGCATTGGAGTGCATGTTTCAATATATTGTACTGCCTTACATTGCATTCATAGTAATATACATGTACTTCATGTAGTACATATTTCAAGAAAGATAGTTTTAGCATGACCAAATATGTAGAAAATGCTGTATATTGTAATAGTGAAAGTAAATGCCAACTGCTGCTTAATTCAATAGATCTGTGAACTTCTGATGACGTAACAAATGCTCGGGGTTCTGTTTAACTGTCAGATTGAATAAGTGAGCCTCAAAGCCTCTTGAAAAACAAGTTTAATCATATTCATTAGAAGAAATCTAATGTTTTGCACTAATCTAATGTATTATACTCGTCTATATTGACTAATCTAATTGTGGGTACTCCATTCAAACTAGATAAAAGAACCAAATTCATATGCCTGGATTTCAGGAGGTGTGGATAATTCTGACGATTCAAGTGACTTACAGGCGCACATGACTCTGTCACATCTATAAGGATATTAAGATATAAAAATACATTAAGCTTACAAAATATGCTCATCCACACAGAAATTGTATATAACAGTCTTAAATTCATCTTGACTTATGTGACAGGTAGACTACTCTAAATAGGGTTGCAATGACTGAAGGCTATCTTCATTAGGCTGACTAGTTGGATTTAGTTCCAGGCATCACTGCGTATGTTAAAGTGGTTGGCTATAAGGAGGTTATTCCCCCATCTCTTGACTGAAAGATTGTCAAAATAAGGTCATATAAGTAAAAAAGAACCAGCCTAAATTGCCCGATATTCAAATTTTGTCGACTTAATTTTATAGCATTTATAATCTGAGAGTTTGGATTTTCAAAAGAGTTAGAGAATTTACAAAAGTAACAGTGGTTGGGATGCCCCATTCTGTTCATTATTGGTTTATTCTAATCTCATTCATATTTATCTGAGCTCTTCAGAATCAGATGTGAAGTGAGTCATTCACACTTCTGAAAAATGGGATGTTCAGAGTCTAACCAATTTTCTATACTCCTTGTGAACAAGTGAATTTTCAAAATTTGCCCTAAAACAGTGTTCCTTGTACCCAGTTGACAGGTGTTCCTTACAGAGAGGGTCCTTTAACATATAAGTCAATGGAAAAATATTTGGTTCCTTTAAAAACTGTTTTAATCCTTGCTGACACTGGTGTTCCTTGCAGAAAGGTGTTCTATTTGATAGGTATTACTGCACATGTAGTCATCAAAGAATACATCTTTTTTAGTACTTTATTCATGAAAATATAAACCACATTTTAAACAAATAATTTCATAATATTCAGATTAATGGATTGCCTTCAGGCCATGAGCTTAACGTTGGTACAACGGTCATGACTGACTGATTCAAAGAAGAATTTAGAAAATGAAGGTCAATTTGATCGGCATGGACACCATAACTCACATGGTAACAGGACAACTCATCCCTAAGACAACTCATCCCAAGACAACTCATCCCAAAGACATCTCATCCCAAGACAACTCATCCCAAGACATCTCATCCCAAGACAACTCATCCCAAGACATCTCATCCCAAGACAACTCATCCCAAGACATCTCATCCCAAGACAACTCATCCCAAGACATCTCATCCCAAGACAACTCATCCCCAAGACAACTCTTCCCAACTTGAAATATTACATAATTTTATACAATTAATTTCAACTTTTGAAAGAATATTTGAAACATATTTAGAGATTTTAGCAGTTAGCACACTGTGCTTGGCAATGGAATATCTTTTGTATTTTGTAGTTAGTATAGCCTAGTTTTAGTTAATTTTTGTTGATTGATTGGGATAAAGATAAACATGTTTAAATATACTTTGATTATAAGATCATCAAGGGTGTCAGATTAGGATTAATGCATAAGAATGTATTATCCAGGGTATTATCAGATTAATTCAGTCTTTGTTTTAAAATATTTTGTTTAATTCCAATATGTCATATTTGGCTTATTCTTCAATAAGATTTCCAATTTTAAACTTTCAGAATCATGATGATTGAATTTGTAAATTATGTCTTTGACTTTTATCTTCAATTCTATATTCTCAAAAAATTTGATATGTAAAAGTAGAACATAACTTTCAAGTGCCTTTTCAAAATGCTAAAAAGTATCAATATTAAGATTGAGTGTATTATCAGTTATCACACGCTTCAGCATGTGATACAGGAAATATTCAACGAAAGGTAATACTGTATCATCCACGAAAGCGAAGCTTGAGTGGTGATACATTGTTACCCGAGTGGAATATTTCATGTATCACATAAGCTGAAACGTGTGATGACGATTTTATCACATGTCTAGGAATTTTGAGGCATTTTGATTTGGTCAGTTATGATTGTTTTCAGTACTCTGTACTCCTGGTTACTATTATAATTTTTGATTTCGCTTTGAAACAATATGACGTCATACCGTTGTATTCGAACTTTTTTGTGAAATAGTATGACGTGATATTGTTTTCCTTAGCTTGAAGTGATATAATCAATGTGACGTCACATCGTTGCTATTGACTCCGTAGTGATACAACTCAACGTATCACATGAAAATTAGTCACGTGTCATGTGATACGGAATATACATCATCACAATTGACCAATCAAAATGCGTAGACACTCCTAATCATGTGATAAAATCAAATATTACTTTGTAATCGTAAAAATGAAAAAGGGATATATATAATATAGAGGACAAATTAAATAATTTATCAATTATACTAGTGGGATGAGTTGTCTTGGGATGAGATGTCTTGGGATGAGTTGTCTTGGGATGAGATGTCTTGGGATGACTTGTCTTAGGGATGACTTGTCTTGGGATGAGTTGTCTTAGGGATGACTTGTCTTGGGATGAGTTGTCTTGGGATGAGTTGTCTAGAAACCACTCACATTACCCCCATTTTTGAATGGCTGGCACAAAATGAGGTTGCTTCTACAAAATGAGGTTGCTTCTCTAAGTGCAATTGCTTACCTTGAATAATATGATTGCAAATCTTCAATTTTCTCAAAAAGGTTACTGAATATCATTGTCATTTCCTCCATTTTTGCTAAAGGGAATTACTCAACATGATAGTTCTATGATTTTGATTGGTCCAACATCAATTTCTTGAGAAAACAGCGAGGCAACATGTCTCCAGGATTTTGATAAGTTGATATACTGGAAGTATCAAAAATGCTGAAATTTTTTTATATTTTCAATTTTGCAATTAAACAAGACAAAAATCCTAACAGTGAAAGAGAAGAGAGTGCACAAGTCGATAGAGATCTGCTGTGACTGCAATCTGCTGTGTTCAGAATTAGATCCCTGTCATCGTCTGAGCCCAAATCACTGTCACATAATCAGAAGGTAATCAGCATGATCACAGATCAGACTGAGTAATTATTGATTTTATCGAGTTGATCTCTATAGTGACAACATGTAACAGTACATGTACAGAACTGCTATAAAAAAAACAGTAAATTAAAATCGATGTTTGTCTTTCATTTTGATCAACAGTAAAATATATGTGTGATCAGTTCAATTTCATATGGACCAGTACCTTTTGGAGAAGTGCTGGTCATTTGGCCAGCAAGTTTTTATAAAGACCACCTGGTTAATTGAATTGGCAGTCCGTGTGACCAGCAGAACTTAGCTCAAGCCCTGATTGCTCTTTGTTTATGATCTAAATATCACTATCATCTTCCCCCTGCTAAAACCAATTTGGAAGCGCCCGATTAAACTGAATCATGTGATCTTATTATGCGCATTGACTTATACCAGGTACATGATTTTTGTCGGAGTGTTGCGACAGCCAATCAGATTGCGAGTTCTTAATCGGGGTAATGCTAACTGCTAACTGCTAATATTCTGGATTTTGAAGCCCTGTGATCGGAGGTTGAGCTTACCGTATACACAAATGCTGTTTTTAATCATTTCTCACCTTTTTTGCTGAAAGTGTCCTGGAACGAAGTTTCTCCACAACATTTCTGGCATCTCCTGTCCAAGTATTCACTATAGCATCTACCTAAAATAAGTAACAACCATATTTTAGGCTACCATTTCCTAATATATACTCTTCTTCTTCAATATTATGGTTTTTGATTAATAAATATGTTTGCAATTTTATTTCATAACAACAACAGTTTGACCAAAGTCAATTTTCTTCTTCATTTATAAGTTCCAGATTATACCTTGTCATTTTTTATAATCTGTTTCATTTCATCATAAACACAATGATCTCACATATCTCGAATCATAACCTCATGGCACAGCACCTAGCATGGCTTTAGTTCTTGTTAAGTACAATTGTAGTTAATAATAAAAGTGACAAATTGTTAAAAGAATTATTGGCATTATATGTTCACTCTGGATGTCAATAAGAACATTGAGTATCACAGTGCAAAGTGGCAATGTACCTTGTCATCATCATAAAAGTGACAAATTGTTATAGGAATTATTGGCATTATATGTTCACTCTGGATGTCAATAAGAACATTGAGTATCACAGTGCAAAGTGGCAATGTACCTTGTCATCATCATAAAAGTGACAAATTGTTATAGGAATTATTGGCATTATATGTTTACTCTGGATGTCAATAAGAACATTGAGCATGTGCAAAGTGGCAATGTACCTTGTTATCATCAAGTTGGAGCTGCTGTAGTTGTTGTCTGAGTACTTGGGGCTTTGCACTGTGGTATGCTGCCTAGAAAACAGTAGAAATAATAAATAATGCAATACAAATATCATAGGTTAACCAGGGAGGGGGGGGTGTTATGGGTATGATCGATGGCGATCACACCCCCCTGACTGAAAGCTGGCTACGCCCCTGAATATAATAGTCTAACAAGGCACAGGACGTGAACGAGATCACACCATCAAAAAGGCAGACACTATGAACCAGGAAAACTGTTCTCCTATTATGTTTACAAATTTCAAGAACAAGAAAACAAGATGGCCACCCAAAAGTTAATCAGCTCTAGTACTTGATATCCTCTATCATGTGTGTAAATTTGAAAGAAATCCGATGAGCGGTTTTCCTGAAATGGCGATGACAAGATTTTTCGAAAAACCTTCAAAATGGCCGCCAGAAAACAAGATGGCCACCCAAAAGTTAATCAGCTCTAGTACTTCATATGCTCTATCATCTCTTCGAATTTGGAGAAAATCTGATGAGCAGTTTTCCTTAAACGGCGATGACAAAAAGCGGGACGATCACGATCACGACCACGATCACAACCACGATCACGACCACGACCAGTATGACGACTATATCCCACCGATGGTGTGATAAAAACTCTGAATTTAATCCTCACTTGCAGATATCATTTCAGATCCATTTCTGGATAAATATCATATCACACATTAATCATTTAGTGTAATTGGATACCATGTATTCTCATTAGGTAAGAATGATATTTAAGAAAAATCAAACATTAAGTTTTGTCAAAGGATGAGACATCAGGGAAAATATCAGACTTATAACTGTCAGCATGGAACATTTAGAGTTACACAACTCATGGAAAGTTATAAATCTAATTGATTTTGAGTAAGCTTTCATTACCATCGATTGGGACCTCAGTATTTTTGCTTCAGACCAGATAATATGTCCAAATGAGTCGACATATTATAGAGCAAAATGTCTTCACCTGCCATTTGTTACAGACACCAAATGCCAAACACCTTTATTTATTCCATAAAGTACTATGTTTTCCAGGAAAATAATAAAAGAATAAGAATGATTTTGACACATGAAAAATAGTTTTCCATGAATCCTATCATGCACTGACATGTAAGTTGGCAACTTGCTGGTCGTTACTAAGGCTGCATCAGTAGGCGGATGAGTAATGTGCATTATCTAATACATATGCCTGACTGAGATTGGCAATTGTAATTGCCTTATATCATATACACCTACATTTATTTGTTCTTCAATCATAATTGTATTTTTCTGAAATATAATATGCACTTTTGATGGCTGTCAGTTCTGTCTCTGATAATGACAAACAATCTAGTCTAATATGTACTTACGGCTTAAATAAAGCCTTTTCAAGACACTTTTATTTCTATAACAGCTCTTGTTATGTCAGAGTGGATTTAATATGAGAGACACTTCAACAGTTGAATACAACTACTGATTCAATCTAACTGATCGTATGCAAGGTGCCTTTAGAGTGTTGAAAGAGACGTTAACAAATATGTAAGTAGAAGTGCCAAAAAGAAAGACTACAATGACCCGGGCAATGACCATTCAAACCATCACAACTTTGGTTTTCAAGAATGAGACTCATTTGTTCACTGACTCAGGTTTTGTTAAGACTAACTTTGCGACAAGTTCCATCTATAACAAAGTGCACCAGAATGCCTATATTGGGCTTCAGCTAAACTATCTTAAAATGTTCATTTTCAACCTGAGTTTTTTAATACAATCATGTACATTGTATTTACCATTATTTCATTTGTGCTTGTAAATATGTTATCATATATATATCTCAGCAGAATTAGTAATATTTTGAGATAAAGTCAAACACTATAAACAATAGAATATTGACAGTGCAAAGATTCAGTAATGAATTCTTGCTTTTGTAATGGAGACACAGCACATTGTGTTCTCCTGCATTACTGTAGGTATAAAGCAATACTGAACGGTGATGCAACGGTGATAATGGTGATGCAACCACTCTGATACAGGCTGTGGCATCTCCTTTTTAAAAGTCACTACCATTTCACATTACAGTTGGCAGATGGCAATTATTTTTACAATTCTTATTTCATAAGCAGCTGGTGACATTTAAGTAATTTTTTTAATAACAAAAGTATAACAAGGCATTTACATGACAAAAAGTCACCACCTATTTGCTCACGATATTATTGGTTCAATCATAAGTCAGATTTGAATTCCTGAGAACTTGAGGATCATTGGTCAATTTGAAGCAAGTTGAAAAAAGACCTTTTTGATCTTTTTCTGACCTTGAGAAGGTCAATGAAGGTCAAAACTCAAATTTAAAGTCATATTTGAACTTCTGATAACTTGAAGATGATTTTGAAATAAAATTTGGTCAATTTGAAGCAAGTTGAAAAAATATCCTTTTTACCTTTTTTTGAACTTGAAAAGGTCAGGTCAAATCTTAAATATAAAGTCAGATTTGAACTTCTGAAAATTTGTAGATGATTTTGAAAAACAACTGATATCAGTCTAAACAGTATTTGTTAAGTTATTGGAAGCTTTAAGAATTTGTTACAGACGTCAACCGCCACCAGCCGATCACCAACCGCCATCCGCCGATCACCAATCGCCGTCACAAAAAATGGAGACCATAACAATATGTCACCACTTTTTGGTGGTGACATAACAATTTGTCATAGATGCTGCATGTCAAATGCCTTTCATGAATGCAGTTACAAAGATAGCACATAGTGGGTTTACATGGTAGCTCTATAAGCTTTATGTACAAATTAGCAATTGTTTGGAATGTGTGAACTAATGAAGACATTTTTGAAAATTTGTTTTTACTTTCATACCTGTAGTTTTAAGGATCAGTACAGTTATATATTAAATTTTGACCAAATCCGACCACTGGAATTTGAGTTATCAAAGATTACATTTTTATGAAAAATGGTGGCCATTTTGAATTGAATGACCATTTTGGGAATTCCTTCTTGGGCAGAGGTCCAATACCAATTGGTGTCAGCCTGTAAAATTTGAACCAAATCTGCTACTGGAGGACTTCTAGTCATTACCTGGACAGGTGAACCAATGAAAGGTTGGTTGAATGGACGGATGGACAGACAGCTTCTCTATATTTCTACTTGAATGCTGCTCTGTGGGAAAACGATATCCTTGATGATGACATTATGGCTATTAGTTTCCGGAAAACAATATCCTTGATGATGACAATGACTAATTTGAAACTAATATAATTTAAATGTACAGTACATATAGGTTTCCTTGTATCTATATGGTCCTCAGTGTTATACCAAGATTAGATTGTACTTTAGGCTAACTTAAATGAAAATCTATTTTCAACAAACAAATGACGACATTCCCTTTGAAGCCATTTATAGTTATTAGACTCCAGATTGAAAATCTGGAGTCTATTGTTTTTGCCTGTTTTCTTATTAGACTCCAGATAAAATCTGGAGTCTATTGCTTTCGTCAGTTTTCTTTATTATTATTATTATTATTATTATTATTATTATTATTATTATTATTCTTTCAGAATCTTCCTCCTTCCCAGATTTCTCACCAACTAGAAGAGCTTACTTTAAGCTGCTTACATGATCACCTAGGGAATGTATCTGGGATGATGGGAAATTAGGTCAAATTTTTATCTAGGTCAAAGGTCAAGAACTAGGTCAAATCCAGTATTTTGTCACTTTTTCAATTTTCTCGGTCGTCCTTCAATATTTTCAATCCGGTTTTTTTTCATTGTGTTTCATTAGTTTTTTGATATCTCAAACCGATTTCGAGATATCAGTGTCCGAAAACGAGGTCCAAAAAATAGTTCTCCCAATTAAATGTCCAGGCTACTGGTCTTGTAGGAAATTTTCTCAGGATTCCGAATCTGAAAACCAAATTTCGATCCGACTTCCGGTTCGGAAGTTATATCGTTTTGAAAGCTCAAAAATCGCTAAATTTTGTGTCCCCATGTTAATTCAATGGAAAAAAAGATTTTTTTGAAGTGTAAAATATGAGATATAGACTAAGTACAGCTAAACATAATGGAAGCCCATAAAAGAAAGGGACCTCAAAACCTTCTTTTCTTAAAAATTTGGACACCAAAATGCCTAGGTCAAAATCTAGGTCAAATTCAAAGTTTTTCCTTATTTTTGCGATTCTGACACTACACTTTAATTATATTCTTCAAAATTGTGTATACATGTAGCCAAGAGTGTGCTAATAGTGTTAGCCTTTTGCCGTCAGAAAGTATTTTGACCCACTTTTGAGATATGGTGTCCCAAATATAGGTCAAAATATAAAGTTCTTCAAATTTAACGTATGAGTTATGAATTAGGGGTAGGATTTTGTCAGGAATCCAAATCTGCAAACCAAATTTCGATCAGACTTCCGGTTCGGAAGCTATGGCGTGTCCGAAAAGTAGGTCAAAATAAAAAGTTCTACAAATTCAACGGTGAGTTATGAATTAAGGGTAGAATTATCCCAGGAATCCGAATCTGCAAACCAAATTTCAATCCGACTTTTGGTTTGGAAGTTATGGCGTTTTGAAAGCTCAAAAATCGCTAAATTTGGTGCCCATGTAAAGTCAATGGGAAAAAAAAGATTTTTTGAAGTGAAAAATACGAAATATAGACTGAGTTCAGCTAAATATAATGGAAGCTTTTAAAAGAAGGGGACCTCAAAAGCCATCTAGCTTAAAAATTTGGACACACAAATGCCTAGGTCAAAATCTAGGTCAAATTCAAAGTTTTTCCTTATTTTTGCGATTCTGACACTACACTTTAATTATATTCTTCGAAATTGTGTATACATGTAGCCAAGAGTATGCTAATAGTGTTAGCCTTTTGCCGTCAAAAAGTATTTTGACCCACTTTTGAGATATGGTGTCCCAAAAGTAGGTCAAAATAAAAAAATCTTCAAATTTAACGTATGAGTTATAAATAAGGGGTAGAATTTTATCAGGAATCCGAATCTGCAAACCAAATTTTGATCCGACTTCCCGTGCGGAAGTAATGGCGTTTTGAAAT